CATTTTATAGCTGCTTTTATATTATTAAATACTAAGACTGGTTTTTAGATTAGTTTTATATAGTCTTTTTATTTAATAAAATACTATAATTAGCTCTTCCAGCCTTTTATTATATACTATTTATTAAAAAATTTTTTAACTTTGTATTTTTTTTTACTATTAATTATTATAGGCGGTGGTTATAAATTTTTTTTATTTTATAACAATAATATATTATCAGCTGTTGGATAAAATAAGTTAATATAAAATATAAAATAAATATCCTTTAGTATATTAAATTATATAGTATATAATTTTATTCTTTTTAAAACAGTATATTTTATATTTTTCTAATCTAGCTTTTTATTAGGATAAATTATATAGATATTTTATAGGCTTAATTATATCTAGTCGCCCTTTTAATATAATAGGGCGGCTTGTTAGAATTAATTAGTCTGTTTTTTAGTATTTTATTATATATAGGCTATAGCACTTTAGGCCCAGTCTAAAATATTATATATCTTTTATATAATTATATTTTTTTATTAACTAGGGCTGAAGGCAGCAACCTTTAGATCTATATTTTAAACTATTTTCTGGCTGTTTAGATTTAACTTATAATTATAGCTTAGAAAAAACAGTAAAAATCTTATAACTATATTTATACAGCTGTTAATTACCAGTTCTGCCAGAGACAGTAAGTTTACCTAGTTTTTTTAATTATAATCTGTATAAGCTTTTAGATATATTTTAATAGTATTATTTATATATTTTATTATTCTATCTAATTAAAAATAATAGGCTGTAGATAATCTTTTTATAATTTCTAATAGATTATATACTCTTTTTTATATATAACTTATAAACTAGGTGCCTTAATCTAAGACTATAATTTTTAAAAAACTGTATTATTTAAAAACTGTTTTAATTAGGGCCTTAGCTGTAGCTTTAGCAGTAATCTTTTTTATTATATAAAATATTATCTTTTTTATTAGTCTGTCTGTAATTACTAGAATATTTATATATAACTTACTTTTAGATAAGTTAGTAATAAAATCTATTATTAGTTTTTATTAGGATTAATCTAGTATTAGCAGTAGCTTTAGTAATCTATACTTTAGTTTTCTTTATAACTTTATATAACTATAGATATTATAGTTTTAGATATATTTTTATATATTTTAAAATATATTAGACCAAAAGTATATTCTGCTAAGAAAAAAATAAATCTGTTTTTAGCTGGAATATCTTATAATAAAAAAATTATAGTTGCTTTAAATAAGATTTATATAAAGTAGTTTATAGTTAGAAACCTACTGTCTTTTTTAAAAGTATATCTAAGCTTCTTCTATTAAATATTTGCTTGGAAAGACTTATAGTTTTAGCTAAAATAAAAATTTATATATTTTTTTTTATATAAGCTTTATTAGATTTTAATAATTTATATCTGCTGCTAGGGTGCGGGTCCAGCTGTTTTTAGATTTATATTCTAATTCTAGCAGTTTTATAATAGTCTGCTGTATTTATTTTAAAAAATCTTTATCTGGTTTTATTTTATATTCTTATAACTGTACTAGGGCTGTAGTAAGTAAATTAGTTTTAGATTTTAAATCCCCTTTTAATATTCTACTAAAAATCTATATTATACAGAATAATATTTTAAGATTTTATTTATTAGATATATTTTATTTCTGTTGCAAAAGGGCGTCTGCTTGCTTATTTTTTATTTCTTTTTAATAAACTAGTTTAAAGTTAAAGCTGCTTAAGATTAAATTTTATTTTATATATCTTTTTATAAGTTTGCATGGCTTAAAAAAGTATTTTAAATTCTTATAATTAATAACTACTATAAACTCTAGTATTAAATATAATTTAGTATTCTAAGATTCTGAATACTATACAACTGCTAGCAGTTTTTTATTATAGATCTTATAGTTATACTCAGCTAGTATATTCTATTTAAAAAAGTAGGTATAAGAATACAGCTCTCTATTTTTATCCATTTAAAAAAGTATTTTTTTTATATTATAGGCCGAAAAGTCTGTTTCTACTACTATTATATATTTAAAATTAAAAAAACAAAGAACAGGCTTAGTTATAAACTTTTTTTTTAATATCCAAAAGCTGGTTTTGTATTCTTAGATCTATTAAAAGGGCTAATTTTTTTTAATTAGATTTATAAATAGTTATACAGTAGCTGAAAATCTAAAAATAAATTTACAGTAAAAGTTTATAAATTTTAAAAAGCTTTAGACAGCTTTTATTAACTTAGAGCTTTTTTATAAGATAATTACTTTAACCTTTTTAAAATCCATTTTAATACCTTGCCCTGTACGTATAATAAATCTAAAATAAAAAGTTTTCTTTCTCTTAAATTTATACTTTTTTATATCCAAAAACAGGCCGGTTTTTTTTAGTTTTTATAATACTTTTTATATATATTTACAGTACTTCTTAACATCCCTATTTATATAGATTAATATATTATTAATATAGGCTGAACAGAATTTGTTAAGATATTTATATAGTATCCAGTTAATATACTTCTAAAAGGTATTTAGAGTATTTATTAGTTTAAAAAATATTACTAGCTATTTATATAGCCTATATTATATATAAAAGGCTGTCATCTATTCTTAACCCTTTATAATATAGATTTTATAAAAAGTAGATAAAATATTTAGTTTAGTAAACTATTTTGCTTTTCTAATTTGATTTAGGATTTTATAAATTAGGGGAAGCAGATAGCAGTTCTTTTTTATAATTATATTAAATACTTAGTAATCCACACAGAATCTTAATTTTTTTTTTAGTTTTTATATAAAGAGTACCGGGGCTGCCGCCGAAAAATAACTAACCTATATAAAATTCTTTTTTAATAGTTTAGTTAGTTTAGACTGTAGGACTGTTAGTTTTTTTTAAAATATATTATAAAAAGGGTCCTATAAAACTTTTGGCTTTTCTTTATTCTAATATATAAGCTTAATTTTATAGTTAATACTTTTTTTTTAGTATGGCAGTAGTTTCTCTGTGTTCTTTAGTTAGAAAAAAGGCAGAAAGTTCTAATAGTATTTAAAAAGTATTATATATAGATTAACTGTCTTCTTAGTTTAAACTACTTTTTAAATATTAGTAAGTAAAACTACAAATACTTTTATACTTTTTTTTAGATCTTTTCTATAAATAGTCTTTAAGTTTTATTTTTGTAATTAGCTAAAGTTTTAGATTTATATATTATAAATATAGTAGGTTCCTTAATCTTATTTTAGTTGTATATAAAAATAATTATTTTTAGTCCGGTTTTAGAATACTATTATAGCAGAACAGCCAGCTTTTCCCTAAGATTAAGTTATATCTAAGATTATTAGATATTATATAAAAGTATGCTTTTTTTTAGTATAGGATTTTATATCTATTTTTATCTATATAATAGAGTAGATTAGTATTTTATTACCTAAGATCTTTTATACTAATCTTAGATTAATACTAATAGTTAACAGACTATTTACTTTAGTAAATATTTTACTTATAATACTATAGGTTAGATATTTTAAGTTAATAAAAATATAGGCAGTTATAGTAAGGTTTAAAATAGTTTTTACTAAAAAAAGATATATAACTATATATTTTTTTTAAAACTTTTCTACTTTCTTTTAGTTTTGTCCAGTAATTCTTATTTAAATATATAATTTTATACTAAACTTTCTCTTTTTCTAAATTAGAATCTTTATTTAAAAAGATATATTATTTTTTTATTACTAAAAGGCGGGCATAGCAGCAGCTATACTTATTAATTATATAATAGATTTTAAAAGATATTAGTAGATAAAATATTTATTTTATTTATAATAAAGGCAGTAATCTGTTTTATATCTTTTTTATATTTTACTAGATATTATTTATTAAATCTATTTCTAAAGATTATTAGTAGTTATATAAAAGTAGTGTCTTTCTTACTATACAGCAGCTATTTAAGTAGGTTTCTACTTTATTAGTTTAAAGCTTAGTTTGTATTGTATTAGTATAGTTTTAGTATAGCTTTTTTTTAAAAAAAATACTTTATTAAGATTATGATTTATGTAGTATAGTTAGTTATAATAACCTTTATATATAAACTTTTAAAAAATTCTAACTAATTTTTAATAAACCTTTAGTTTACTATAGTATTTAGTATAGTTTTTTTTTTATCTAACTAATTATGCCCCTCTGCTTATAGCAGAGCTTTATTAAAGTTGTTTAAAAATTCTTTTAATTCTATTCTTTCTTATTTTATTATATTTATCTGGTTTAGAGCTTTTTATTATATATTAAAATTTTTAAATATCTTATTTATTACTATAAACATATCTTTAAGTTGTACTGTTTTAGTATTTTAGAATTTAATCTAAAAAAGTATCTGCTGTGTTGCCTGTCTGTATAGTTAACTATAAATATAAAAAACTTATTCCAGCCCAGTAAAATAGCAATTTTTATTAATTATAAGTTTTATATATATATTTGATTTAAATAGTTTGTAATTATACTTATTTTTTTTATTAAATAATTTTATATTAGAATACTAAGGGTGGGGTCTGTAGTTTAGCTTATACAGTTACTATAGGGGGTTTCCTTTTAATTTACTATTAATAATAAAAGTTATATTATAACTCTGTAATTTATTTATCTACTTTTTAAAAGCTAGTTTCTGTTTTACTATTTCTATATAAAGGCTGATTAGCTTTTATAAAAAAGGTTATATATTATTATATATAGCTGTAGATACTGCAGTCGGCCGTAGTTCTTCCTAGTCTATTTATTTTATTATTTTAATAATTCTTTTAGTTTTATTTTATTCTATTTATATGTCTAGTCGGGCTCCGTCTAGGGCTTTTTAATAAGCTATTTTTAATATTTTAAAATGGATAGATTGTACTAATTCAAATATATCTTAAAATAAAAAGAAATAGCTAAAAAGCTATTTTATCTGTTTGTACAAAATTCTTTTATATATCTACTAAGCTAGTGCTAGTTTAGTACTTAGCATGCAAGGCCTTAGGTGCCAACTGGTGCCTGAAGCCGAGCTTTATAACAGGGCCTTAGTCCCATAACAGTATATATCTAAAGTATAACTGCTTTAATTATATTAGAATAAAAAGAGCTCTAGTAATAGTAGTAGATATTTTAAAAATTATTAAATAAATATTTAATACTAATATTATTGGTTGCAACTAAAAAAGAATTTCTAGCTATTTAATAGAGAATAAAAAACTAATTATAATAAAACTTTTAGTACGTAAAAATATTAGTACGTCCTATAATATCTAAAATAGTATTAATTTAATTAAAAATATTTTTTAAATTATATATTTTTAATATTTAGATATATTTTAAGTTTTTTAAATATCTCTACTATAGGTAAGAGTCTTTAGTATTTAAAAATATTATAAAAGATTTTATTTAGATTAGATAATAATATAAAGCTAGATAATAGTATATTAATTACTAGATTCTAACTATAATAAAAATAAAAGACTTTTTTAAAAATAGTTTAGTACTTATTATACCAGTTAATATTATTAAACTATATATTCTTTTTAAACTTTTTAGACTTTAATATTAGATTTAGAATAATTATAATTATTAGAGTGGCTTAACCTGACTATTATACCTTAACCTTAATCTGGCCATAACCTGGCAGTTAGGTTAAGATATAAAAAATTTTTAACTGTACAGTTATAGTCAGGTTAAGGTACAACTATTACTTTAACTATTTATATCTACAGATTAGAAAGATTAGATATAGCAGATAGGTTAATAACTATAGGTTAATTTATAATATATATATTCCCCTTATATAAATAATATATAAAATATAATATATTTTTAATTATAGTATAATAATATTTTATAGTTTTAGTTTATCTGCTCTATCTGCTTTACCAGCTCTACCTAATTAATCTGCTTTATTTAATTAATCTAATTAATCTAATTAATCTGTTTTATCTGCTCTATCTGTTTTATCTGCTTTATCTAATTAATCTGTACTATATATTCTACCTAAAAAATATACTATACTTTGTAAAAGACTTCTATAAAGTCTAGTATAAAAAAAATAGTATCTGGTATTAGATATACTAATAATATTATACCACTTTTTATACTGTTCAGAATAGTAATTATAATAGTATAGAAATTATAAAAACTGGGTTTTTATCTCTATCTAAATATATATAGTATTTAAAGATTTAGATAAGGCTGGTTTTCCTATTACTAATAATAATCTATTTTTAGAGTTATTTTTAAAATTATTTATATTTTTATTTTTACTAATATAAAAGATAGTAATCACCTTATCCTTCTCTTACTTTTTAGATGTAAAAATAATCAAATCTAGATTAAAATTATTAAAAATATCTTAGTATTTCTTACTAATAGTAAAATAATTAGTATACATCTAAAGTATAACTGCTTTAATTATATTAAAATAAAAACAGCTCCGGTAATAGTAGTAGATATTTTAAAAACTATTAAATAAATATTTAATACTAATACTATTAGTTACAACTAAAAAGAAATCTCTAGCTATTTAGTAAAGAATAAAAAACTAATTATAGTAGGACTTTTAGTAAGTAAAAATATTAGTATATCCTATAATACCTAAAACAGTATTAGTTTAATTAAAAATATTTTTTTAAGTTATATACTTTTAATATTTAGATATGTTTTAAGTTTTTTAAATATTTCTACTATAGGTAAGAGTCTTTAGTATTTAGAAATATTATAAAAGGTTTTATTTAGACTAGATAATAATATAGAGCCAGATAACAGTATATTAATTATCAGATTCTAACTGTAATAAAAATAAAAGATTTTTTTAGAAACAGTTTAATACTTATTATACTAGTTAATATTATTATTAAACTATATATTCTTTTTAAACTTTTTAAGCTTTAATATTAGGTTTAGAATAGTTATAATTATATAAATATAGCCTTTTATTTAGTAGATATAATAGTAGTACTTTTAAAGCTTTTAATATATATTCTATAAGCCTTTAAAAATGTTTTTCTTCCAGAGCACCTGCTTTCTTACTAGTTGATTAATTAAGTAATCTAGGTAATTAAAAAGATTATTATAAGTATTATAAATCTTATAAATAATAGGCCTACTGTTCTTAGATAAATAGAATATAAAAAAAAAAAAGTATAAAAGCTTAAAAAAATACTTTATCTGTTTCTACTTAATTATAGTAGGATAAAGATAATTAATATTACTATACTTACAGTACTAAATAAAATTTTTAATTATTTAATAAAGATTAAGCATCTAGTAAATTATAAAATAAATTAAGTTCCAGCAGGTTTTACAGTCTAAAAAAAAATAGTAAACTAATTTAGATTTTAGTTGTTAGGTAAGCTGGAACTTTTTATAGTATTAAAAGCTTATATTTACAAATCATATAATCTTCTAAATCTATAATTAAAAATTAGTATAATAAGCTATTACTAAAAGAAGACTTTTAAAAGCTATCTGTAAAAAACTACTACAAACAGCTTTTAATATAAATAGTAAAAACTATTTATATTAGCCTTTTATAAATAGCTCCTAGAACATATTTTTTTAAAAGTTTTTAAAATATTAAAAAAGGTTTTAAAACTTTTTTATAATTTTTTTATATATATTTAACAGTACTGTTTAAGGCCTTAATCTAAAGTTTTTATAAAAAAATATTAACTATAAGCTGAATTATATAAGTAAAATAGAATATATAATACTGGCTCTAAATAATTTTTAAAAGATTAGGATTAATTAAAGTATTATAAAGCTGGGTACTCTGGCTAAGCTGGACTTAAAGTTTAGATAAAATTATACTAAATATTAAATTATTATTATTAGTATTATTAGTTATTATATCTAACAACTAATAGGCTAGATTATATTTATATAAAACTAATAGAATAATTATAGCTAGATTTTTATTAGTATAAGATTTAAATACCAGTCCGAAGCCCAGTAAAACTTTATAATAATTTATATCTTTTATTAAAAAATATTTAATTAAAGTAAGAAATACTTTTTAATCAGGGCTGGTCCGGTAGTCTACTATAATTAATATCTATTTATTATCTAAGAACTTTAATAGCAGCTGTATATATATATTTTTTAAGAATTTTAAAAAATATTCTTTAATCTGTGCTTAATTAAAAGAATTTGGTTTTTAGTAAAAAAATAAAGTAGTAAGATTAATTATCTGTTTAAATTAAATATATTTAACAGTTCGGAATGGTAGGTGACAGGTAATTATAAAGTATAGAACTTAATTCTAAAAATTCTGTTTATTATAAACTATAAAGGCCTAGAGAAAGTAATAATTAAAAAAATATCTATTTTTAAAAAATAAAAAAATAAGTAAATATTTATAATAATTCTTTATTTAGTATCTAACTAATTATTTATTTAGATATAACTAATAATATTTTCTTTTTATAATTCTTACAAAAATAGTAGCTTATAGAACTAGTTTTTAAGTTTTTAATTTTTAAATATTATAAAATATAAAGGTATATAGTACAGTAGATATAAAAGGTTCTGTTAGAAAATAATATATCTTTTTAAAAATTATTTTATACTATTAATAACTTCTTCCAACCGAAGTAAAATGGCGGTTTTTAAACTTATATATAGATTTTAAAAAAGATTATCTTCTACTACTAATTCTAAAAAATAGGGACTTTTTTTTAAAAAGTTAGATATAGAATAATCTTCCAATTCTTTGCAACATACATAATCTTAAGATTTAAAAAGAAAAAAAAGATCTGGCTTAAAAAGCTTATCTTAGTTTAAGTATTATTATAGTTTGTAAAGATCTAAGAAATAGAAGAAAAGGGCTTAATAGTATTTTCTAAAAATAAGCTAAATAACTGTAATTAACTTATAATTCTAAGACTACTCTGTAAGTAATAGATATAGAAAAATAAAAATAGAAAATTTTATAAAGATAGTTTATTTTACTTTAAAATATACTTTTATATAAATATAATTTATTATATTTTAATATACAGCTAAAGCACCCGCCGCAGCTTATATATTTTAGTAGGCCTAGTAAATAAAAAATCATATTTAAAACCCAGAATTACAGGTACTTAGGGCTAACTAGATTAAATATATTAAAAATCTTATTTTTATATCTGAAAAAGGCTTTTACAGAACCTACTATAAAAAATATAATATCTAATATTAAATTAGATAATTATTAAAAAGTATATTTGCTAAAAAAGACTAAGTAGGTAATATAACACAGGATTTTAAATAGATTTAGATTAATAGAGTATTTAGAATTATTAGAATTAAAGGGATCAAAGGAGTTAATTAGATTAATAAAAAAATTAAGATTATTAGTATAAAAAAAGTTAATAAGATTAGCAGAATAATTAAGATTATTAGAATTAAAAAAGTTAATTAAATTAGATATAAAGATTTATATTATATTATATACAGCTTAAACAGAGCAGTAATTATATATTTTTATATATATTTTTTACTGTAAAAGTAAAAATTATGTTAAAAGCTGGAATTTATTAGTACTACTAAGAATTTTTTATTATTTTTTAAAAATAGAGATAAAAAAGATAGTAATACTTTACTTAATTATCTTTATTTAATTTAAAAAGCTTTTTTTTATATACTTTTAGGTAGTAGTTAAGATAGTTAGATTAATAATCTGTTAATCTAAATATACCTTAACTATACTAAAGTTAAAAAAGATATAGTAGATAAATCTTAGTACTAAAAATAGTTAAAATAGTTAACCGCCTGATTTTTGGCTATACTGCGGTTAGATATAAAAATTTTCTTAACCTAGCCATAATCTGGCAGTTAGGTATAAAAATTCTAATTAACCTGACCTGACCTGGCTGTTAGCCACTCTAATAATTATATAAATATAGCCTTCTATCTGGTAGGTATAATAGTAGTATTTTTAAAATTTTTAATATATATTTTATAAGCTTTTAAAAATCTTCTTTTCTTAAAGCGCCTGCTTTTTTACTATTTAATTAATTAAGTAATCCAGGGAATTAAAAAATTATTATAAATATTATAAATCTTATAAACAGTAGGCCTACTGTTTTTAGATAAAGAAAATATAAAAAAAAGAGGTATAAAAGCTTAAAAAAATACTTTATTTACTTCTACTTAATTATAGTAGAATAAAAATAATTAATATTACTATACTTACAGTATTAAATAAAACTTTTAATTATTTAATAAAGATTAAATATCTAGTAAATTATAAAATAAATTAAATTCCAGTAGGTTTTACAGTCTAAAAAAAATAGTAAACTAATCCAAATTTAAATTATTAAATAAGCTGGAACTTCTTACAGTATTAAAAGCTTATATTTATAAATTATATAATTTTTTAAATCTATAATTAAAAATTAGTATAATAAGCTATTACTAAAAAAAAGATTTTTAAAAGCTATTTATAAAAGGCTACTATAAATAGTTTTTAATATAAATAGTAGGAACTGTCTGTATTAGCCTTTTATAAATAGCTTTTAGAATATATCTTTTTAAAAGTTTTTAAATTACTAAAAAAGGCTTTAAAATTTTTATTATTTTTTTTATATATATTTAACAGTACTGTTTAAAGCCTTAATCTAAAGTTTTTATAAAAAAATATTAATAATAAGCTAAATTATATAAGTAAAACAGAATATATAATACTAGCTTTAAGTAATCTTTAAAAAACTAGAGTTAATTAAAGTATTATAAAGCTGGGTGCTTTAGCTAAGCTAGATTTAAAGTTTAGATAAGATTATATTAAATATTAAACTAGTATTACTAGTATTTTTAATTATTATATCTAATAACTAATAGGCTAGATTATATTTATATAAAATTAATAGAATAATTATAGCTAGATTCTTACTAGTATAAGATCTAGATACTAGTTAGAAGCTTAGTAGAACTTTATAGTAATCTATATTTTTTATTAAAGAATATCCAGTTAAAATAAAAGATACTTTTTAATTAAGGCTGGTTTAGTAGTCTACTATAATTAATATTTATTTATTATTTAAAAACTTTAATAACAGCTGTATATATATATCTTTTAATAACTTTAAAAAATATTTCTTAATCTATACTTAATTAGAAGAACTTGGTTTTTAATAAAAAAATAAAACAGTAAAATTAATTATTTATTTAAATTAAATATATTTAACAGTTTAGAATAGTAGGTAATAAATAATTATAAAATATAAAGTTTAATTTTAAAAGTTTTATTTATTATAGACTGTAGAGGCCTAGAAAAAGTAATAATTAAAAAAATATCTCTTTTTAAAAAATAAAAAAATATGTAAATATCTGTAATAGTTTTTTACTTAGTATTTAACTAATTATTTATTTAAATATAACTAATAGTATTTTTTTTATAATTCTTCTAAAAATAGTAGCTTATAAAACTAGTTTCTAAATTTTTAATTTTTAGATATTATAAGATATAAAGGTATATAGTACAGTAAATATAAGAAATTCTATTAAAAAATAATATATCTTTTTAAAAGCTGTTTTATATTATCATTAATAATTTTTTTAACTAAAGTAAAATAGTAGTTTTTAAGCTTATATATAAGCTTTAAAAAAGATTATTCTCTTCTACTAAATCTAAAAAATATTTTGTTTAAAAAGTTAGATATAGAATCACTTTCTAATTCTTTACAATACATATAATCTTAAGATTTAAAAAAAAAGATCTGGCTTAAAAAACTTATTTTAGTTTAAATATTATTAAAAAATCTAAAAAACAGAAGAAGAAGATTTAATAGTATTTTTTAAAAATAAACTAAATAATTATAATTAACTTATAATTTTAAAACTACTTTATAAGTAATAGATATAGAAAAATAAAAGTAGAAAATTTTATAAAAATAGTTTATTTTACTTTAAAATATATTTTTATATAAATATAATTTATTATATTTTAATATACAGCTAAAGTACCTGCTGTATTTTATATATTTTAGTAGGCCTAATAAGTAGAAAATTATATCTAAAGTCCAAAATTATAAATAGTTAGAGCCAACTAGATTAAATAAATTAAAAATCTTATTTTCTTATTTAAAAAAGACTTTTACAGAACCTACTATAAAAAATATAATATCTAATATTAAACTAAATAATTATTAAAAAATATATTTACTAAGAAAGACTAAGTAAATAGTATAGTATAGGATTTTAAATAAATTTAGATTAATAAAGTATTTAGAATTATTAGAATTAAAAAAATTAAAAAAATTAATTAGATTAATAGAATAATTAAGATTGTTAGTATTAAAAAGATTAATTAGATTAGCAAAGTAATTAAAATTATTAGAATTAAAAGAAATAATTAAATTAGATATAAAGATTTATATTATATTATATACAGTCTAAACAGTACTGTAATTATATATTTTTATATATATTTTTTACTATAAAAGTAATAATTTTATAAAAAGCTGGAATTTATCAGCACTACTAAAAATTCCTTATTTTTTTTTAGAAATAGAAATAAAGAAGATAGTAATACTTTACTTAATTATTTTTAATTAATTTAAAAAGCTTTTTTTATATGCTTTTAGACAACAGTTAAAATAGTTAGATTAATAATTTATTAATCTAAATATATCTTAACTATACTAAAGCTAAAAAGGGTATAGCAGATAGAACTTAGTACTAAAAATAGTTAAAATAATTAACCGCCTGATTTTTAGCTATACTGTAGTTAGATATAAAAATTTTCTTAACCTGGCTATAACCTGGCGGTTAGGTATAAAAATTCCAATTAACCTGACCTGACCTGGCCGTTAGCCACTCTAGTTTTTTTAAAAACTATAGTCTTAGATTAGAATATCTAGTTTATAAGTTATATTTAAAAAAAAGTATATAATCTACTGGGAATTATTAGAAGATTATCTACAGCCTATTATTTTTGAATAAATAAAGTAATTAAATATATAAATAGTACAATTAAAGTATATCTTAAAGCTTATATAAACTATAACTAAAAAAACTAGATTAACCTGCTGTCTTTAGCAGAGTTGGTAATTAACAACTATATAAATACAGCTATAGGATTCTTACTATTTTTTCTAAACTATAGTTATAACTTAAATCTAAACAGCTAAAAAATAGTTTAAAGTACAGATCTAAAGATTACTACCTCCAGCCCTATCTAATAAGAAGATATAATTATATAAAAGATATATAATACCTTAAACTAGATCTAAAGTACTATAGTTTATATATAATTAGAGTGGATTTTGGTTGAAAAACAGGTTAAAAACCAAGCTTTTAAAATCTGTATTTAAGTTTAATTTCTATTGTATATTTGTGTTTGAAAACTGTAATAGGAATTTGTTTTTATTTAGATTTATATTTTATAATTTAAATACAATCCAATATAGCCATGCTGTATTTAATACATGACTAATCAGTTTTCGGCCATTTTTATAAGTGAATTTTTAACTGTTGGGTAATATACTGTATTGGTAATGTATTACATAATAAATATATATAGATAATATAAATACTATATTCTAGACTATAAATTACAACATATTAAATTATATAAAGATTTTTATAGTATTTTATCTTTATACCTGTGTCTGTATTTTTTAACTGTTTTAAGCAAAACGGTTAACCATCAGGTTAAAAAAATCCACTCTATGTTACGGGACGGATGGATTGTGCTAATCGAAACGTGCCTTAGAACAAGAAGAAATAGCTGAGGAGCTATTTTATCTGTTCGTACAAAATTCTTTTATATGTGCGCTAAGCTAGTGCTAGTTTAGTACTTAGCGTGCGAGGCCTTAGGTGCCAACTGGTGCCTGAAGCCGAGCTCTATAACAGGGCCTTGGTCCCATAACACTCTAATCCAGAGTATAGCAAAGTTAGAGTAAGATTTTATTTTTATATATTATGAGTTATATAGTAATCTAATACTTTGTATCGCCAGTACAGGGGTTATAAATAATTATATATTATATAAATAAAAAAAGCAAATTGCAGTTGGTAAAAGCAGCAAAAATCTAAGAAAATTATAATAAATAAAAACTAATATATTATTTAAGTAATTAGGTTTATTACCCCCAGCACTAGAAAGAGGAGGTATAATATGAATAAGCAGAAGAAATAATAGAAATTATATAAATAAAAGCTGTAGAAAATAATAAAAAGAAAAAAGAGCTTTTATTATAGAATTAAAGCCCTAATATAAAGCTTAGTTTTAAAAACTAGTTAGTATCTAAGATCTTATATATTATATTCTAAACTAGTACTAGTTTAGTATACATATTAAAAAACTTTATACAAACGGATAAAATAGCTTCCCAGCTATTTTTTCTTGTTTTAAGGCATATTTTAATTGGCACAATCCATCTGTCCTGTAACAAATATCAATCGCGAAGGCTCGCAGGGCCCTTACACTTAAGATAATATAACTGCCAATTAGACTATCTCAGTCTTATTAATTTAATACTATTTTTAATAAAATCTTTCATATAGGAAAAAAAAGCAAAAAGAGTTATATATTTTTACAGTATTGTCTTATCTATATCAAAGGTACATAAAACAAATAAGTAAAATATGTTAAACTAGATAAAAGCAGAAACCAATCCATCTTGCCTTTACAATTATACTAAATTTAAAAAATATTACTATACTACAATTAAAAATATATTATACTTTATATATTATCTATATATAAACTTACATATATATTATCATTTTATTTATTATATCTAATTTTTCTAACTAGCAGATATAAGTAGTTAGAATAATAACTATATTTTCATCTAATGTTAATTATACAGTTAAAAATCTTTTATATCTTAACCTAACTGCTAGGTTATGGTTAGGTTAAGGTTAAGGTATAACAGTCAGGTTAATCAACTCTAGTTTATATAGCAATTTAAATTCAAAAAGTATTTAACAGTACTTTTAGTTTTAATTAATAAAGTAGCTAATAGATCTATGTAAGGTTATTGACAATAAATATTAAACAGTTAAGTAGTACTAAAATTCTATTAGTTTTAGAAAGCTTACTCAAAACCTTGCGTTGTTTCAATTCGTCATTAGATCGTAAAACTCGGTTCTGTACGCGCCACGAACTTCACCGCGCAGAGCGATGGACATTTGATCACCACCGCCTTTCCTAACGAGGGAAACGTGGCGACACATGCCTGCGCAGCAGGGGCTGCTCTTTTCCTCGTCGGTTCTCTCTACAAGTACGTGGGCCCTCGACTGTCCCTCTTGCTCGGCGGTTGGACCTACGCCCTTTATGCGGGATCCTTGCTCAACTTCAACCGAACCGGTAACGGAGACTTTGTGATCGCGGCCGGATCGCTGCTGGGTCTCGGGGCGGCCTTTTTTTGGGTGGCGCAGGGCACGATCATGGTGACTTACACGACAGAGCGCACGCGGGTAAGAGTCATCGGGCTCTTCTGAGTGACCGTCAACCTTGGGGGCACAATAGGCTCGCTGATCAGCTTTGCTTGAACTACCACTCAAAGTCCGGCACGGTGACCAACTCGACCTACGTGGCCTACCTGGTAGTCATGCTACTTGGTTTGGCTTTGTCGCTGCTGGTCTGCTCAACTGACGTCCTCTCTACGCGCTATCAGGGCCAACGCATACAACACGCTGCCCAGCGACTTGAACTCCGGCACTGGGTTCGCAGTCTGCACGGTACCGCGCTGCAGACCTTGCGCGCCATCGCTGACCCGCGTCTCATCTGTTTGTACCGCTCTTCTACAACGCTAACGTTTTCTATTCCTATCAGTAGAATGTTGTCAATGGTAGCGTATTCGACCTGCGCACGCGCGCCCTTAACGGCGCTCTCTAATGGATTGCGCAGATGGTCGGCGGACTGCTGATCGGGTCGATCCTGGACTGGGGCCGCTGGAACCGTCGAACCCGTGCATTTACCGGGTGGACGGTACTCTTCGTCACGGGCATGGCTATCTGGACGGCGGATACGCGTTTCAGCGTGGGGTGGACTCTCAGGGAGCCGACTCCCCGAGGGTCGACTACCTGGATGGCAGCCGATACCTGGGCCCCATGTTCCTGTATTTCTTTTACGGCGTGTACGATTCGTTCTGGCAGTCGTACTGTTACTGGATGATTGGGGCGCTATCTTCCAGCCCTGTCGTCAAGGCTGCAAACTGCTGCTGTCACACCCCCCCAGCTCGCCGCACGCCTTAAATATAAAGCCAAAGTATGTACAAAGAATTACTATAAAGAGAAAAATATAGAAAATCATAGTAGTGAGAACTAGATAATGCTGTAGGAGAACTGCCCAACTTTTTTGAAGCCTAAGAAACCAATATATACCCAACCAGCTAATTATTTTAGCTATGTAAAAAGAAGTTATATTAGTAAAAAGTATAACAACACAGTAAAAGGAGTACCTGGCTTTTATAAAGTCTAAGAAACTTATATACACTCGCCAGTTAATTGCTATATATAAATATCTTAACTGTTTAACCTGTAAAAGTATCGACAAAGTTGAAAGAAACTGCAAGTACTTAAATTTCTATGGTAGATTTTAAATAATACTATATATTAATTCTAAAAGCCTTTTAATCTGCAGAATGTAGTTCCAAATGTAGATAAAAACAACAATTAAAGCTGTATATAAAAAAATAGGGAAAAGATATTTACTGTTAACTTACTTAGTTAATATAATAGTCTAAGGGGTAAAAAATTCCGCGTTGGTTTAGCTGGATATAGGCTTTTTTATAGACAGATTACTGGATTCTAGCAGTTTAACTGTAGAACTAGATATATTGTAGTATTTTTTTTCTCTACAAGACTTTTAAAGTGCTTTATCAACTTAAAAAGCTTTATTTTATTAAAAGAATCTATATTATTACTAATTTTATTTTTATAGATTATTATCTATATAGGAAAACTTTTTTTATTTTATATAAAAGTATTAATACTGCAGAATATATATTAAGCTTACAACCAAAACAACAGGCGCCGGAGTATGAGATTTAAAAAGTAGTAATATATATAAATATTATTAAAAAGTTTAAAATATAGAGAAAAAAAAAGTCTAAAATAATACTTTATTTACCTGCAATACCGGCCTTGTAGATAATATAGTATATTTTATTAAAAGCTTTATCCGCGTGGATATAGTTGCTGTAAATATTTAAGTATTTTTAAAAAGTCTTAGATAAAAGGTGGATAATAAGCCAACTACTAACTGCAACAGAGTAGTTATCCTATATTATAAAATTCTTATTATTTATATATAGGCGAGGGAAGGCAGAATTAATAAAAATATTAGCTTAATATATGTAAAGATTAATTTTAACAAAATAATACTAAATATTCCAGCTGAGATAATCTTTAAAAAGTATAAGGCTTAGCTATAATATAGAAAGAGATGTAGAAAGAACTTGGCTGCTATATTAATACTAATTAGTAGATATTTTTATAGTTTTACTACTAGGCTCAGCCATCTTGGTATAGAAACCTACAGGCTAAAAGGTTTAATAATAGATATATTAATAAAAAACAGTAGAAAAGTAGTAATATTAATAAAAAATAATAAAACAACGCGTTACAGAGAGTGAGGGCTTATAATCTGATAACGCCTTAAAAAGGTGGAAGATGCTTGGATTCTGACTACATCAGGCTAACTGCGAGAACTAGCTAAGGCCACCGAGGTGGGCGATGAGCTCGCAGCCTCAGGCAAGGCCGCAGGCTGCCGCCGTCAAAATAGGTTCTATTATATAGTTAATTTAGTGGCTGGAATCTAACGATTTCGGCAAGAAAACAAATTCTTGATTTTCGAGTGGATCTCATAGCTTCTATCTACTATAGGCTGAGCGGTACCAAATATCCTTTTCGCCTTCTCTTGGTTATGTCAGTACAGACTACTAGGTACACTGTCCAGCCACGACATGTCAAAGATGTCTGGTAAATCTAATGTATCCAAGACCGCTGCTGATAGCCCTTCAGCTAGAAAAGTCTCATGTGGGGGATTGCCAGGTGTCAGAGGAGGGCAGGTTTGCCCGGCATTGATGGAGGCGCTGACTCTCTCATAGAGCAGCTCGAGTGCCACAATGCACCGTTGAGCAGAGGAACTGTAGCTTTGATACTTGCTTAAAATCTCAAGAACACGCTGCCAGGTGCGAGCAACTGCTTCTTCGGTCATCTCCGATAGAATAGCCTGATGAAGACGACCAGCAATCAGGACCGTGCCAGCTGTGTACACATCTGAACGGAATTAGCTTCTGTGAAATCGAGCTGAGCAGGAAATAGCATTCTCAGACGTACATAAAATATTGTACCACCAAGCTGGAAGCAGGCCGATGGTATTATCCGTTGTCAAGTTCGTATAGGTCATATCGATGAGATCTTGAGCTGACCTCACACAGATTATGGAGCATTGCAGAGCAAACCGTTGGGGAAGCGAGTCTTCCGATGATGTCAAAGAGGATCGATTGGACAGATCACAATATTTGGATAGTATTGGACGTAGAAGAACCATTCTGACATGGAGCAATCTAGTAAAAGGAATTAATAAATTTGATTTGGCCATATCGTGTGATTTGCATGGATACCTCAGTCTCAGTACGACCTTCTGCCTACTAATGACATGATTCGCAGGTAATGGTGTGGCTTGACTGCGAAAAATTGCCGGAAGGCTTTGGGACCACACGCTGAGTGCGTAGTCGAGCTGAAACACTGTTACTTGACCTTCATGGAAACTTCGGAAGAAGTAGTTATGGTGGTCATCGGACTTTTCTGGAGGGCTGCTATTCAGATAGAGGCTAAGAAGTATGTCGTTCAAGATTTCGTACAGCTCCAAGCACTTTGCATAGAATGTTATGAAAGACGGCATCTCTATCTCTCCTTGAGGACGTGACTCTGTGAGAACTTGCGGAACCTCCTCATCTACCATGGTAGGTAAAGCGACAGCACCAGCTGCATCTTTCGATATCATGGCAGGGCGTCCCAAGGTCAACGCAACCACACTGTGCAAATTAGACGGGGTTTTCAAAAGAGTTCGAATTCACTAACCGATCCATAAGAACACATCCATGCCAGATTCTCCTGGCGAGCTCTTTTCCTTGACAGCCGGCTAAGCGTGAACTTGTCTCCGGCAGGTGGAGTCCTAGGCTTTGAGCACTACGAATTGCCATGCCAGTGACAATCCAGCATTGATCAGCATGATCTGTGCTTTGAAGATATTGCGACATCAGAAGTAGGCACTGAATCAGTGCGGTGGACCCTGGCTGCCACATGTCAAACTGAATAAGCTGTTTGGCGCGAGAAAAAAAGCTGTCAGCTGTTGCTGCCCGGTTCTCTGGCTCGATTGTCTCAGATAATTGACAGCCTAAGGCGAATATAACATTGAAAGTGCACATGAGCATGTCTTCATCGCCAGGGGATCCTTCTCCATTCCACATCTTCAGATACTCGGCGGATAGTTGTTCTCGATCGAAAAATGGATAAAGGGGGAAGACAAACTCCCAGTATATTTCCATGAGGTGGTCTGCCATGCGCCTTGGAGGCAGCACATGATGGCCGATGGTTGCAGAGGTGGAAGGCTCTTTTGCTCTCTGACGATTGAATAGAGAGGATTGCAGATTGATGATTCCCGATGGTGGCACTTCCTTCTCCACTGCGATCCTGATCTGCCGCATGAAGCCCCCTGCGCTCGAGTTTCCAAAGAACCCCTGTGCTGGGTATCTTTCATCTGGGGTTACCTCCCCTACCATCGCGTTGATTCCCTCTGTATTGTTAGTCGGCCGCTGGGGTTCAGTCGAATTGTACGGCAGCGAAGAAGATAATACACGCGGCGCGCGATCAATTGAGGTTTCCGCCAAGTGGCAGGATGAAGAATTCAACGTCCCATTTTCCAAAAGATTGCTCGAAAATTGCTGGGCTTCAACACATTGTGACTGTGTTAGATGCTGGCGTGAGCTCTGTTGTATCGTGGATTGTTTATCAGTGCTAGGGCTTTTGACCGACTGTGGATCAGTCCGCCTTTGCTCTCTCTCAGCATTCAATCTGAATCTATCATGCTACTGTGACGGCGTTCTTACTTAGCGGATGCGCTCCTTTCAGAGGACTTGCACGAGTAAACACAATCCTGTTCTATGCCATAATATTCGCTTCGTGCCAAACAAGGTCCGCATGCTGATAGGGACAGTCAACGGGAGGCATCGGCAAGAGGTCACAGCTCCACTTACCGGGCCTTTGGCCATCACACCGCACTTTCCGGGTCCTGCACGTCTCACATGCCACTGCGATCTTGCGCCGCTTTGCTTGCCGCAACGGAGAAACCTTACCTGTATCTGGATGGGACGGAACGGACCATTCTTCGCGATCCATATTGCTGATGATTAATTATGTCAGGAATCAAATCTCTTCCGGAGAGTGTTCGGAAGGTGGAAGATGGAAAGAGTCCAGTGTGGATCGCGAGTAAGTTGTTCCGGGCCGTCCGAGGAATCCGAGGTTTCCGAGTTTTGATCGACACTTGTTAGAGCGTGAACTAAAATCTCTTTCCGCGTTAGCTTAGTTCATTGATAAGTGCTTTCTAAAGTGCCTCGGTAACGTATCTGGGGAAAAGATATCCCAGGACTTCTACTCGAGTCTATGACATTCATTATGACCTCAGGCTCTCATCCCAACTCTTGCGGATGTCGCTCGGGCCGCTGCGCTGCAAAATTGATTACAAGCTCACCAATTTGCTGCATTACCCACCTGAACCCGATTTCAATTTCCCTCCTACTCCCTTGGTTAGCCCGTCATGATTCAAGCAACAGCCTTTATTGTCTGCGAGAAACAAGCACCTTTCCAGCCGAAACAAGTCAAATTAAATGCCCTCCAAAGCAGGGAGGTTCTGGTTGATCTCAAGGCAACCGGTATCTGTCAAACTGATCTGGTTGTCCAGAGTGGAAAAATTCCAATCCCCTTCCCCGCCATCCTGGGCCATGAAGGTACGCTCGCTCCCTGATAGCTCTCTACGTTGGCTACGATAATAACAAGGAAGCCAAGGCGCCGGAGTGATTCGTGCCGTTGGCTCGGCCGTTACGGATTTCGTGGTTGGCGATCATGTGGTGCTTTCATATAATCATTGCACGACATGCTCTAGCTGCAGGTCTGGCAAGACATTTCAATGTTTGGAGATGCGAGAGCGTAATTTCGGCGGTCAGAGGGCAGACGGGTCGCAGACTGTCATATCCGACGACTCAAACCGCATCAGCACATGCTTCTTTGGTCAATCGGCATTTTGTAATCCAGCGGTGGTCCAGGAAGCGTGTTGTGTCAAAGTGGATAAGGACCTGCCCCTCTCCGTGCTCTGCTCCTTTGGATGCGGATTTCAAACCGGCACAGGATCTGTATTCAACGTGGTCCGGCCGGTCGAACGAAAAACACGGTCCCTCTTGGTGTTCGGCTTGGGAAGTGTTGGGGTGGCAGCAATTATTGCTGCGAAAATTCTTGCCGAAGATAACCCCGGCGTGCTGGACACCATTATTGCAGTGGATATCGTCGATGACAAGCTGAGCATAGCGCTGGAGCTTGGGGCAACGCATATAATCAATTCAGCCAAAGAAGATCTAAAGGGTCGCCTGGCGGAAATCAACAACGGCGAAGGGCTTGATGCGGCCATTGATTGCACGGGCGTGATTGCTGTGGTCAACTCGATGGTCAGTTTAGTGGGTGCTGGTGGAGTAGCGGTCACCGTTGGCGGACCACCGCCCGGTCTCAAGGCGTCTATCGACGTGTTCGACGTCTTGATCAACTGCAAAACATATCATGGATGTCATCAAGGCAATGCATATTCCAAGACTGTAAGTGATTGAAAATATATCAGCTTTACAGGTGTCCTAATGCGTCTTGCAGTTCATACCCTTTATGATTGATCTTTTCCGGATGGGACGCTTGCCCTTGGAGAGGTTGCAGAAGACTTACAAAGTTGCTGATATTAATTCTGCAGTCAGTGATATGAAAGCGGGGCGTGTTTGGAAGCCAGTGCTTCTCTGGAACTGACGTTTCATGTCGATCCGTTGAACAAAGCTTATGAGCAGAACAATTGTGGTGAACCATATGAAACAAATATTGCAGTTCCAAAATACTATCCTACAACAATCTAATCTTGGATAAAGATGAGCTTCTTTAGAGCCCGAGATAGTGGATTACTTTCCAAACTATTAACATGCTAAATAACCATTTTGAAATGGGCTCAAGTAAGGCTTTAGTTCTCATTGATTTACTTCTATGAAAGTGAAGAAATACGTTGGATTAATTCATCCAAGTAACAGACTTCGTCTTCAGAAACTCGTCTAGACCGTCAGCGCCTCCAAATCGACCATAACCGCTCGATTTCACTCCACCATGGGGCAGAACGGGCTCGTCGTGTATTGTCATTGAATTGATGTGAACTGCGCTGTGGGTTGAATCAGTGATTGCTCTATTCGGGTTTTAAAGTTAAGCATGAGGGAGATATTACCCTGTATCAAGCTCACGGGCGATGCTTAGCCCACGTCCCAGGTTCTCCGTGAAAATTGATGTGCTGAGGCCATAATCGGTGTCATTTGCCAATTGCAAAGCTTCCGAGTCACTGTCAACCACGAACAAGGATACCGTTGGGCCGAAAGATTCGCTATAATACATGTCCATGCTCACGGTGACCCCTTCAACGACAATTGGCCGCATGCCTGTTTTCGAATCCACCGGCGCATCAAGAGTACCAGTTAGGATTGTTGCACCCTTGGCTACAGCATCCTTGACCAGGCTCTTGTTCTTTTCCACAGGGACCGGACTGATAAGTGCGGGTGCTGGTTTATCGTCGCCGTAGATTGCGTTGATAAAGGATCTCAAGGCAGTGCGGAAATCGGCAATCACATTGCGATGCACAATGATGCGCTCGGTCGACATGCATACTTGTCCGGCCTGCGACGAGTTAGACTTATGAGCCGTCTTGCATTCCTAAAGAACCATGTGGTCTTACATGCATGAATGCACCTAATGTGCAGGCAACCGCTGCTTTCTCTAAGTTTGCATCATCCAATACTATGCAGCTTCCTTTTCCGCCCAGCTCAAGGACCACAGGTTTCAAATTTTCGCCTGCTGTCGCGGCGATAATACGCCCAACGGCGGTACTGCCGGTAAAACAAATTTTCTGAATCTCTGGCGCAGCAATGAGCGCCGTCGTGACTTTTGCCGCATCCTTAGTGCAGTGGACGAGGACATTCACACAACCGGCCGGAAGGCCAGCCTGACGAAACACGTCCCCAATAGCCCAATAAGACTTGGGAGCAAGCTCGGCACCTTTCAGAATCATGGTATTACCGGCCGCCACCGCCAGCGCCGCTTTGCGTACTCCAAGGATGAAGGGAGCGTTCCTGAATAACCCGTCGTCAGCACACCACTGGAATTGGCAAGAGAGGGATAGAAAATGGAAAATACCATGGCGCGATCCCCAGCATCACGCCATACGGCTCCTTGTAGACAATGGCAGTGGCATCCCCGGCCAGCATTGGCGAGTATCCATTGATACCTGAAACCTTCCCCGCGACATCGGTGACCAAATTGATTCCGGCCGTAATACCGAAATCAGCGAACTGCCTCTCTACACTCGTCTCTTCGATCACGTAACCTAAAAGTTCTTCACGGCGGTGCTCAAGGAGCTCGGCCACCCGCAAGAGCACCGCTCGTCGAACGGCTGGCTTCGACTTGGACCATGAGACAAAGGCAGATTGGGCCGATTTAACAGCTTTTTCAGCCTCAATGACAGACGCACTGCTAGCATGGTGGACTAATGCTCCAGTTCGCGGGTTTCTCACTTCAAAGGCTGACGCGGTCTGGACATCTTGATTATCGATGATGAGGGGGACGGTGGATGAACTCATGGTGGGTCTAACTGTTTAGCTCTTATAATACCTGACATGGTAGTCTCTTGCGGACCTAGTATGGAGGTGTTCACTTATAAGTCGGTGGTGACCGGAGGCGTGTTAGCATAAATTCCCTCAAATGGTGCTAGCGACCATTGGTCAATGCTGACGCTTCGATGACAAATTGCCCGTCGCTCGTATTGTCATCATTGACCTACTTTGCCAAGAACTTTTGTTAGTTCCAGCCATCTAGGTTGAGCCCGCAGTTCAGGACTCGACATGTCATGCCAATCGGATTCTCAGTCCCTTTCGGATTGCGCAGACGCACCCACTTCAATCCACCCTGAGAGGCACGGAAATTTCGGCAATTTCGGGAAACTCGCTCCCGATGCCTGGGATAGATGCCACTATATCAGGCCTGGATTTATTCGACGATTCCGCACTAGAAAGCATGGAAAGAGGCCACCGACCGCGAAATCAGAAGGATCCGAGAATATGGAAGGCGAGGTTTATCGAGGAAGCTGCCTGTGTAAGGCAGTGAGCTTCAGCGTCCGCGGCAGTCCCGAGAAGGTGTTTATTTGCTACTGCCAAGACTGTGTGAAGAATTCAGGGGCCCCGTACCAGCTCGTATGTATATACCTCCGTTCTCTCCCCACGACTAAACTCATTGACTCGTGGATCAAAGTGCGCCAAATTCCACCGAAGCCAGCTGCATTTCGAGGCCAACAGAGACGAAAATATCGGCACCTGGGTTGTCACTAAGACCAGCAGCGGAGCAGAGAAACATAAGAAATTTTGTGCAAAATGCGGCTGCACATTGTGGACAATTCCAATGAACCATGGGGGAGAACACCTTATCGTGCGCGCGGCCCTCGTTGATCACGGGTGAGTGCCGTACTTGCCTACCGAAATCCATTATCGAATACTAAAATCTCCTTAGACTGGAAACATTTTCGCCTCAAGCAGAATTCTTTGCCGGCTTGAGGCCGTCTTGGGTCAAGAGCCCGGACAATGTTAAATCATTTGCGACCATGCCTGGCCGCTGACCGATCTGTGTTTGTAGCTCAGGGCAGTAAGATGCGTACTCTTCTTTCTAATGTGATCCGTATTTTTCCTTCAATTAAATCGGAGAAGCAAAAGAACAATCGATCTAGAACCCTTAGCATGAATACGGTAGTTGATGTAGAACTTAGTTATTGTTACCGGAATTCACGGATACAACGGCTTGTCAAAGTCCCTCTCCCGAGCCACTCGGAACGCGCATGAGCGGCTTCTCCATCCCGTATTCCTGTAACTCACTTACAACCCCGCGAATTCCAGAAACAGCGGGTTTATTACGCAATACGTAGTGCCCCCACAGGAAGCGATCCGGACTACTATATACCTCCATGTTCCGGTACGTAGATAGAGGATAAAGACCAAACCTCTTCCAGATTATTCCTGAATATACCGGCCTTCCAGAGTACATCTAATCTCAAATACAAGATGACTTCGACTCCTTCGCAGACAATTGCTTCTTTGAAGGAAGAGCTTGAAGCATCCTCTCATGGCAACAATTATCAACCTCTCTGGACCGTTTTCGGGCAAATGGTGCCTCCCAAGCCCAATCCCCGCGCCGTGCCAGCTATTTGGCGTTATGATCAAATGAGGCCAGATCTGATGAAAGCCGGGGCCATTATCACCGCAGAGGAGGCCGAGAGACGAGTCCTGATGCTAGTAAATCCAAATATGGGTACAGTACCTCCTTGCCTCCGCGAAAACTCGGTTGTGCTACGTACTAAATCCACGATCAGATGCACCTCACACGACAGATACAATCTATGGCGGTCTACAACTCGTTCTTCCCGGGGAAACAGCCCCGGCACACAGGCATGTCGCGTTTGCCCTCCGCTTCATTATCGAAGGCAACGACGGGTTCACGGCAATTGAAGGCCAGAAAATTCGTATGGAAACAGGAGACGTGATTCTGACTCCCTCGTGGTGCTGGCACGATCATGGCAACGAGGGCAAGGACCCGATGATTTGGCTTGATGGCTTGGACTTACCGCTGTTTCAACGTTTCCCTGTCAACTTCGCTGAGGAATACACCGAGAGTCGTTATCCCGCCTTGTAAGTCACTCTACCGGCTCAGAGCACAAACATGGAACATGCTTGCCTGACCCAATTTCGAATTTAAAGAGACTCTGATGACAGCCCCATTCGCTTTCCCTGGAGAGACGTCGAGGCCGTGTTGGACGGCGCGCAACTCCCATATGCTGTTCATCATTACCAAAGTAAAGGAAAGAGTTACCTTTCGGATACAATCAGTGCACAGGCGGAGCGATTGAGTCCAGGCTATACCACAGTACCTTGCCGAGAGACTTGCTCATTTCTCTATCACGTAAAGAGCGGCGAGGGCGTCTCCAAGCTCACTACGGCAGACGGAAAGGAGCATGAGATCCAATGGAAAGCAAAGGACACATTTGCGGTACCCGCGTGGTGTCGCACTCAGCACACATGTTCTTCAGAAGAGCCAGCCTACCTATTTGCGATCAATGACCGTCCCATGTTGGAGTCATTAGGGTTCGTCAGACGAGACTAGAGTCCATCGCTGAATTTGCATCGGGAGCCTACTTTCTGGAGACTGATCACTACTGTCTGAGCCATCCTGGGGGTTTTTAAGTGCTATTAAACCAGGAGGAAAAGATGATGGTTTAGCAATCAAATACTTCTCAGTATTCTCATGGATCAAATTTGGTTTTCACATAGCCGTCTATCTTAGTCTTGTCATTTAAGCAGTCCAATCCGCAAACTTATGAATTCAGTCGATTTTTTTCTGCAATTGGAAATTCCTCTACCCGTTATTTCCTGCCTTCATCCTTATTGCTTGCCAAGAATGAAAATAGAGCCAACATGAATGGCCTCGTCAGTATCATCTACCATCAAGTTCACTTCAAAAAAAAAAACTCGATTTTTTCATAAAGTTGTTCTCAAAAGCTGGTCTATGGCAGGCATAATTGCAGCCAGAATGGGCTAATTTCAAGGATTACTACAGGCTTTTTTGAGTGTTACTACCGGTGTAATGAGACATCACACTACCGAAAGCACGCAGAGACTGCAGAAAGCCCACTAAAAGTGAGTCAACGTATTCAAAGTACTGAGGACTATTCGAAAGAATAGGGATGAGTGAGGTGCTTGAAATGAATGATCTCAATAACTGCAATACTGCAATAATTCCTAAAAATTGCTAAGGAACCCGAATCGGGAGGAATCAGGCAACGCCGGGAAGATGAGGTGGGAGGTGCTGACCCCCTTCTCGCTTTTCCGTATATGGAAGGCGGAAACACCCATCTCGTGCCTTCCCTGACAATACCTATCCATTACTCAAATGCCATAACGTTCTTCGTAGATCCAACACCCTCAATAATCACCTCCACCACGTCACCATTTTTGAGATAAGGGGGAGGGGTCATGCCCATGGCCACACCCGAGGGGGTACCGGTCATGATCACCGTGCCTTTTTCCAAAGTGGTTCCCTGGCTGAGAAAGCTGATCAGATGAGGGACATTGAAAAGTAAGTCATTAGTGTTCGTATCTTGGCGGACCTCGCCGTTGACGAGCGTCTGTAGGCGTAGATTATCGGCAGCACCGACGACCTATATTCTATTAGATTTCCCATCACTTCATGTGCATGAGGATGTAATGGGCAAAGGTACCTTAGGAGATACGAGCATAGGACTGACAGGGGCAAATTTATCGAAACCCTTGCTGAAACACCATTGGGGAACACCTCCGGCCTTGGTCGGATCTTTTTGCCAGCTTCGGCAGGACACGTCGTTGGCAGCGACATACCCGGCAATGTACTCCAGAGCCTTTTCCTTTGGAATATTCTTACCAGTTTTGCCAATCACAACAGTCTGTTTTGAAGATCCTTGGAGTCAGAGATTGATCTGCGGACATGCGGGGCAAAAGGAATGGTGATCAGGAGGAAGGAGGGCTTTTCGGACAACGCACCAGTTCGCCCTCATAGTCTACTGAGTCTTGAGCAATCTGGGGGATGGGAATATCCTCATTGTACGAAGCAATGGACGTGTTCGGCTTGATAAAAAGAGACGGATGAGGCGGTGGGGTGCGTCCACCCTCCTTGACTGGAATTAAGAGTTAGCCAAAATTTACTGGTACCAACTGGCCCCCTCCCCAAACTCCCCACTTACTGTGTGCCATATAGTTCAACCCCACACAACGGATGATAGGAACATCTTCTGGTCTGAGAACGCCCAGGATTTCCTTAACATGCAGGCGACGAGAACCTGGGGTGACAGAGAGTGGGCTGTCTCCCACAAATTCCTGGGCATAAAGGGTCCCGGCTAGGCATTCTTCTTCCAATTTCGTGACATCGTTGATCGCAGGTTCTCCAAAGCAGACCTTGCCGGTGGTATCAACGAAACGGATGAGGCGAGACCAAGACATCATGATAGCAAGAATCAATGAGTTGTAGCTTTTGATGTGTCCCTTGAGAATATGGAATAGATAGTCTTCTCCTACAGGGAGAACTATGTGTCATATATAAGAAATGATATTGGCGGGTATTTAGCGCAGCAACGAGACCATTGCTACTAAAATCCAGCCGAGCGTTCCGTCTCACTGGATATCGCGTAGTTTTGGTTACCGGAACCATGCTGGATCTACCGGACAGACCTGGTTCCGGTCATTCCGACCATTCCGATAACAGGTATTTCTGCTGCCGCTACTGTCAATGCAAATTTCCTTCGAACGATCTTGCATTAAAATTACAGCTTGTGTAAGCAGATTGCTGGACTGAATCGCCGGCAGATCAATATCATGGATTACCAACCGGTGACGATCATGGTAAGAATTTCCGAGTCGACCTGGCGCCGCCTGGAGCGGATCCAGAACAAACTCAAGCGCTTAATGTCCACCCATTCTAGGAGGATTATGTTCGCTTACGACTGTGGTGGCACTATTTAATACTGCTCTATCGTCACCTCAAGGGCCGTGCCGTGCCTGCATTCCGATTCAGCGTATAACTGGTTACAGTAATCTCTCAACCCAGCCATTGGGGAACAACCAGTTTCAGTCCGCCTGGTAGCCAGGGGTGATCAAAGTTCAACGGGATATTCAGACTGTGCTCCCCCGGATAGACAGAAAGCTGGATCTTTGCCCTTGAATCGAGAATCTGTGGTCTTTGCTAAAACAACAAGTCTATAAAAAGTATCAGGAATTGGAACGAGCAAGTGATACGGTTAAGACGTTGAATCATTTGATAGAGGCTGCAAAAGAGGCTTGACAAGAGATTCCCTGTAAGATAGTGGTTAGGCTATTTGAAATCATGCCTCACCGTATTCAGGCTGTTTTTGAGGCAAATGGCTGGTATACGAAGCATTAGATATTCTGTCGGCACAAATTTGATCAATCTAGTCCTAGATAGGAAATTTACTTTAAGCGGTGTGTATCCCTGGCTTCAAACTAATTTCCTCCCACTGTACCACGCAGACATCAGATTGGCAAACAGAAGCTTTAGGTTGAAATGTGGGTCCAGACAAACAAAGCAAACATCACAAACCTCATAGAGTAATCTTATGGATCCATCCGTTCCCCCGAATCCAATCACGACGTTTCCCTCAATGTAATACAAACAGTGTAAACAGCTCAAAGATCGCTATAATGGGTATATAGTACTTGTGCTTCGTCAACAGAAAGGAGAAATAATGTTGATGTCTTCTTCACAAATACAATATTCAATCCCTCGTCTCATCATGCATTACAATCGCATCGCCGTATATTCACACCGGGGCTGGGCCAGCTCCGCGATTGTCCAAGCTCTCATTGCATCAGGCGCTTACACCAAGGTCCTTTATCGGCCTGGTTCCGATATCTCTAGCCTCCCTAGCACTGTTAGCACTGTGGAGATTGACGTGGCTGATCAGTCAGCTGTCATTGATGCACTCAAGGATATCGATATCGTCATGTAAGTTTGAGAATATTTCTCAGATTGTGTATAGGCCGACAACAAGTCTGAGAATTTCTCTTTCGACGCATTATTATACTTGTTTCCCCTTCTTTTCTCATCGCTGTGCTCCTTTATCTGAGATGTCTCTCTTCAAAATAGCTCTCTCGTTGGCCATGAAGGCGTTCTTCGACAACTTCAGCTTGTCTCGGCCATTGCCAAAACCAATGTGCAGCTGTTCGTGCCCTCAGATCTAGCCGCCCGGTATGACGAGCAAGGCATGCGTATCCCTGTCAACAACAATAAGGGTATGGTGGAGGCAGCTGCACAGGCTGCAGGCATTCCTACAACAGTGGTTTTGCCGGGCAACTTTGCCGAGTTTGCCTTGGCCACAAGGTATCAAACAGATCGGTCTTCATCATATTGTCTGCTTGTTCCTACTAGGCTAATCCTCGCCCTTCTGATAGAGCAATGGGTGTGGATATCGTCAACAACAGAATTATTTTCACAGGTCATAGTGCTACTCACCCTGTCAATCTTTGGTAACTTCCTTCTCCCTTGCCTCACCGTCCTATCTGCAATTTTCTAAACATCGTCTTTAGCACAAGATCCTACGTGGCAGCCGCGTACGCATCTATTTTTGCTTCGACTTCGATCGACCGACTCAAAAACCGTACACTAGCCTTGGCAGAGCTGCGTCCAACCGGAAATGATATAGCTGCAGCCTTGTCGGAGAAATTCGGCGCAGCGAGCCTTACTACCTCGGAGTCTATCCCCTCAATTAATGCAAAGATTGAGGCAGCTCTGGACACAGGCAAGGGCTTTGCCTTGCCATACTACTGTCGCAAGATCTGGGGAACTGGACAGCAGGCGAACATGGTTGGATCCGACGTGTGGGACGATCCAAAACTAGCCAAAGCCTCGCTGCAGGAGCTGCTGGTCGAGGGCAAGTTGCAAGACTATCGTGAGCCACCGCCAGGTGTAAATGAATTCTTTGCGACTTGGTATGAGTCGTGTCAGTAGCTCTGAGTCATTACTAAGCCCAATTAACTGCTCTTGTTGTCCGCGGGCTACTTTCTTAGGTCTCAAGTCCCTTATATATAATTCCTATATCTTTATTAGACTTCATCTTTATAGCCTCCACTTTCCAGTTATGCCTGTCTTCCGTGCTTAAATGCGGCGGATCTTGTGGAGTACAATCTGGTGCTTGGTATATAGAATTCAATTGACCTTAGCATTTATTCAAGATGATAGATTTCGATGCCATTCCTCCTTCCAACTTCGATGATGAGACATTGGATGCGACTACTACAATCTATTTCAGACGGCCAACCAACCACATGACTCGTACTCAGACCTCGTTGAAATTCCTTTCATGACGCTCTCTGGCGGCTCGTATAACGATAACTAGATTGAAAAACGATACTTTCATTGAGCCGTCATGCGAAGAAACACTGAGAAAGACCAAAAATTGAAGAGGTTGTGAATACTGTTTCAAATATGTTGAAAGCAATTGGCTTTTGTCTAAAATGATTTTATAAGCTAGTATATACCCTCTTTATTATAATAGTTTCTGGTGTGTGAGCAGAAAAGGACATTCTGATCACGAGTTCGGGAAGGGTTCTATTTCTGATACTCCGTACACGAATCGGACATGTCTGCCTATGTCGATGTATTTGTATATTATGTAAAACACTAATTTCAATTTTAGCCTTTATTCTCGGGTGTGATGAGAGCGCAGAGTTAGGTATTCAGTCTTACCAGGCAGGAAGCTCTGTACAGCGTGCAAATTGGCGGTGAGCAGCTTAAGCCAATCAGAGCCGGTATTGTTTTGAGAATCTAGCAGCGTCTTATCGACTCTCCACACCGCTGTGCTCAGTCTATTCGAAGATTGAGTCCTTATAGGCAGAGGGATCGATGTACGGTCCGCCACCACGACGGGTAAAGCCCCATCGAATCTGACTAGCCATAGCAATCTCGGTATCCACATGCTGCGCAAAAGTCCAGGCCAAGCTGGGATCCTTTTGAAACCCACGACCAACTAATATAATATCCAGGCCCTCTCTTTCCAGAAGTTCGTTGGCCTGACGGCCGTTGGTGATACTACCAACGGTCGATACAAGAAGCTTGTCACCAATACTTTTCTTAACAGCAACAGCAAAAGGCGCCTGGAAGGCAGGCCCAGATTTAATATTCTGCGCCGCGTGCACGCCCCCGCTGCTAATATCGATTAGATCAACAGCACCCTGACGTGCTAATTCCTGGGCAAAGCAAACAGTATCCTCAATGCACCAGCTTTTCTCGGGAAAAACCTCCTCGAGCCAGTCAGAGGCAGAGATTCGTAGGAAGATCGGCATCTCTGGCCCGACAGTATCACGGGTCAGCTGGGCAATCTCAAGAGACAGCCGAATACGATTCTCAAAGCTGCCGCCATATTGGTCGGTGCGATTGTTGACAGAGGGTGATAAAAAGGTCGATAATAAATAGCCATGAGCATTGTGGATTTCAAGAAAGTCAACACCAGCATTTACCGCCCGTTTGATAGCTGCAACCCAGTCGGACTTGAACTGCTCAATATCGGCCAGTGTCATGGCTTTGGGTTGCGGGAAGGCATCAGAATAGGGGATTGTGCTGGGGCCTAAAACGCGGTCCGGCCAGCCGCCCACGGCCTTTGTCGCCACCATCGGCTTTGATACCAGTGGTGCCACGGTACTGGCCTTACGGCCGGCGTGATTCAACTGTACACCAATTTTCTGGTTCTGGCTATGCACGAATTCGATGACTTGGCGCATAGGCTCAATCTGTGAGTCCTTCCAGAGACCCACATCTTGCGGCGAAATGCGACCCTCGGCCTGTACCGCAGTGGCCTCGATAATCAAGAAGCCAGGACCTCGCTGAGCAATTGAGCCTAAGTGCGCAATATGGTAAGGCGTCATGTGACCATCCTGGGCACTGTATTGACAGAGGGGTGCCAGCTGAGCAGATCAATCAATATTAGAATATGCAGCAGGGAAAGATAAAGACATACTCCAAGGCGGTTCTGGAAAGTAACACCACGGATGACCAAGGGCTGAAAAAGCTTGGGCACGGGCTTACCGCTTGTCTGGGGCTCTGCGGCCGTTCCTGCGGGAGGGTCTTGGGCTGGTGTAAAGTAGGAAACGTTCGGAGCAGGTGCAACAGCGACGTTAGGAAAAGACATGATGGCTTGGTTATTATGGAATTTGGGGGACAATTGGAGGTCTGCTGTTCCAGACACCATTGCAGACCTTTATAAGAGGGCAGTCAAGACTAGTCGCAAACTTGATTTGTAATCTAGAGTGATGTAGTTAGTAAGCGAGTCGGCCACCTCATCAACCACCACCATACCCTTAAAACTGCCTTTATACAGAAATCAATTTCTCCACTAAACATGTCTCAATTAGTAAAAAAATCGGTATAACACAAAGGTAGGCTTTCTTTTACAGTTAAAGCTATTTAAAAAGGCTAAATTTATTTAATTCGCAGTACTGCAGCAGCTTATAATATTTTACATTCAACTTGTCAAAATTATTTAAATAAAATTAAATATCATAAAAAGACACACGCTAATTAATATAAACTAACTTTTCTAGAAAAGGAATTACTTATTAAAGAGATTATATTACTAGATTAACGCGGCGCACCTCTAAGGCAAGTTTATATTTATAAAGGCTAGTGTTATGGGACCAAGGCCCTGTTATAGAGCTCAGCTTCAGGCACCAGTTGGCACCTGAGGCCTTGCATACTAAGTACTAAACTAGCACTAGCTTAGTGTATATATAAAAGAATTTTGTACAAACAGGTAAAATAGCTCCTCAGCTATTTCTTCTTATTTAAAGGCATGTTTTAATTAGCACAATCCATCTATCCTATAACATTAGAAATAGTTTATTAAAAAGCCCTAGACAGAGCCCAACTAGGTATATAAATAGAATAGAATAGAACTAAAAGAATTATTAAAATAATAAAATAAATAGATTAGAAAGAACTGCGGCTAACTGCAGTATCTGCAGCTATATATAATAATATACAACTTTTTTTATAGAAGCTAATTAGCCTCTATATAGAAATAGCAAAATAAAAACTAGCTTTTAAAAAGTAGATAAATAAATTATAAAGTTATAATATAACTTTTATTATTAATAGTAAATCAGAGAAAAACCTCTTACAGTAATTATATAAACCAAACTACAGATCCTACTTTTAATATCTTAATATAAAATTATTTAACAGGAAAGATAAGTGCAACTATAAACTATTTAAACTAAATATATATATAAAGCTTATAATAAACAGAAACTGCTATTCTATTAGATTAAAATAAGTTTTTTATATTTATAATAGACTATGTAGATATACAGTATAACAGATTCTTCTTTAGATTAAATTTTAAAATATAAAAATAGTATAATTAGAGGATATACTTACAGTAATAGATAAAGTATTTAGAGATTTTAATATATAATAAAAAGCTTTAAACTGGGTTAATATAATAAAATAAGAAAGAATAGAACTGGAAGAATTTTAAAATAACTTTAATAAAACTCTGCTATAGGTAGGAGGATATAATTAATTAGATAAATAAAAAAAGGCCATACTAAATACTACAGTAAACTAAAGGCTTATAAAAAATTAGTTGGAATTTTTTAAAAATATATATATAAAAAAATTGCAACTAACTACACCGCATAAACTATAATTTTAATAAAATATTTTTTTTTTAAAAAAAGCTATATTAAAACTATACTGGTATAATATAAACTAAGTTTTAAACTAATAAAGTAGAAACCTACTTAGATAGCTGCTGTATAGTAAGAAAAATACTATTTTTACTTAATAACCAACAACCCCTAGAAACAGGCTTAATAGGTAATGTTTAGTAAAATATAAAAAAAATATAAAGTAAATTACTGTTTTTATTATAGATAAAATAAATATTTTATCTGCTAATATTTTTTAAAACCTATTATATAACTAATAAATATAGCCGCAGCTATACCCATCTTTTAGTAATAAAAAAAATAGTATTTTTTATTAGATAAAGACTCCGACTTAGGAAAAAAGAAAGTCTAGTATAAAATTATATATCTAAATAAAAATTACTGGACAAAACTAAAAGAAAATAGAAAAGTTTTAAAAAAAAATATATAGTTGTATATTTTTTTTTAGTAGAGGCTATTTTAAACCTTACTATAACTGCCTGTATTTTTATTAATTTAGAATATCTAATCTATAGTATTATAAGTAAAATATTTACTAAAGTAAATAGCCTGTTAACTATTAGTATTAATTTAAGGCTGGTATAAGAAATCTTAGGTAATAAAGTACTAATCCACTTTATTATACAGATAAAAATAAATATAAGATCCTATACTAAGAAAGAAGTATACTTTTATATAATATTTAATAATCTTAGATATAATCTAATTCTAGAGAAAAGCTGGCTGTTCTATTATAATAGTATTCTAAAACTGGGCTGAGAATAATTATTTCTATATATAACTAAAATAAGACTAAGGGATCTACTATATTTATAATATATAAATCTAAAACTTTAGCTAATTATAAAAATAGGATTTAGAGACTATTTATAGAAAAAATCTAAAAGAAGTATAAAAGTATTTACAGTCTTACTTACTAATATTTAAAAAGTATTTTAAACTAAAAAGGCAGTTAATTTATATATAATACTTTTTAAATACTATTAGGACTTTCTGCCTTTTTTTTAACTAAAGAATATAGAGAAACTACTGCTATACTAGGAAAAAGATATTAACCATAAAATTAAATTTATATATTAGAATAAAACAAAGCTAGAAGTTTTATAAGGCTTTTTTTATAATATATTTTAAAAAGAACTAACAGTCCTATAGTCTGAACTGACTAAACTATTAGAAAAAAACTTTATATAAGTTAGTTACTTCTCAGCGGCAGCCCTAGTACTCTTTATATAAAAGCTAAAAAAAGAATTAAGATTCTGTATAGATTATTAAGTATTTAATATAAGTATAAATAGAGTGGATTTTGGTTGAAAAACAGGTTAAAAACCAAGCTCTTAAAATCTGTATTTGAATATATATTCTATTGTATATTTATGTTTTCAAAAT